GCAAATATCTCGTTGCAGGAGACAAGCTGGGCTAGGGCAGGGTGTATGGGGCCAAACCTGGATCATATAACATTGTACTCTAGCTCAGGGATGTTTTGGATACCAATGGGTGTAGAGAGTTGAAACGCTAAAGCAGGTGGTCCAACTTCTGAGCAGCTGGGGGCTGTGCAGGCTCTTCTACCCCTGCCACATGGGTTATACAGGTTCTCTGGGCTTCCATGGGCTGTGCTGCCTTGTTCCAAGAAGTTGGGACAGGAAGTGGGAGGAAGGAGAGGGAGTCTGGAGACCTTGGTAGCAGCAGAAGGCTTGTTGGCCAGGTGGGAACCCATAGGTCATGAGTTTGATAGCGCAGCACTGAAGCATTAGTTTGGTCAGTACATTCCAGTCTGTCTTTTTTACTTATTATATTCAGTAATACCTTAGGTTATGAGAGATCCCTGGGTAATATTTTTGCCCATTTTTGAAGTTCATTCTGGGAGTAAGACTGGGTGAATTTTTCAGCATAAAATGAAGATCAGTGAAGTAGGCGTACCTACTGTTAGAGCAGTCCATGAAAAAGTTTAAGGTAGGGCAGTCCCACTTCATCTGTGGAATAGATCGGGGCAGGCAATTATTTTGGGCAGAGAGGCACTTGCTGAGTTTTGACAAGCCATCGAGGGCCTCATGACAGGCAGCCAGGGGCAGATAAATATTAATTTTCTAAATTTTTTAGGGGCCCTGCAGGCTGCATAGAATGGCCTGGTGGGCCGCATCTGGCTCATGGGCCGCATTTTGCCCACCCCCCAGAATAGATGGTGGAGCCCCCAAAGGAACATGTCCCTTCACTGTACAAAGAGGGACCTGCCAAATTTTTTGAACTCCAGCAACCTTAGATAATAAACTGTAAATGGGGGGCAGTGGTGGAGGATACGCAAGATGCAGGCAGTACTTGGAATGCATTTCCAATTGTGACAGGAGGACTGGGTTAACAACCTGAGAGGTGGAACCTGGTCTGCTTCTGGTGGCTTTCCTATGTGTGTTCTTGGTTCCCTTTTTGCCTTAGTTTAAAAACCTTTGGACTCATTGCTTTTGAGTGGGAAGTACTGCTTATCAAGGCACCCAGAGACCATAATTTGTTTTTTCATATTTTTGGGTGACAGTTCAAACTGGTGGTGTTTAAGGGTTTTCTTTCTTTTCTCTCTCTCTTTTTTTTCACTTTGGTTTTAGCTTCCAGAAGGAAGCTCTAGATAATTGAATCTGGCCCAACATCACCCAGCAAATGACTTGCAACTGGCTGAATTTGGAATGGAACGTGTGTGGTCAGGGTCAATAACTAGTTACTTCTTTGTGCGCACACACATTATGCCTATAGAAGTGTGGAAAACAAGGCTTGGTCATTTTTGGTCAATGAATAGATGGATTCATTCCCCAGTTAATTTCTTCACTTCCCCCCTTTGGCCTTTGTCAGGCTCTTGTTTGGTTCATTGGTTAGAGCAGTGAGCTGGGAGTGTAAGCTTCAGGGCTCCATTTATTTGTGGCATGACCATGAACACATCATTTATGTACTGAAGGCTTCAGTCCATTTAGGCTTCATTGATTTGTATGGCTTGTCATGGAAGGAAGAGGCTATTACTAAAAAAAAAAAAAAAAAAAAAAAA